AGCAGGGAGCCCGATGCGGGACTCGATCCCGGGACTCCAGGATCATGACCTGAGCCGAAGGCAGTCGCTTAACCAGCTGAGCCACCCAGGTGCCCTTCATCCTGCTTTATTACTTTGAGAGGATTTGAAGCTGAATGACAGTCAACTGTCATATACTGAAGTTAACCAGATTCTTTGTCGGTGACGTTACTATTACATAGAAAGCCCACATCTCATAGATTGTCCAGGCGTATTTCAGTTTATGCCTGTTAGCAGGCATAATTAATATTTGTGCTTCTTTTCACTCTCAGAAATAAATGTTTCAGTTTGAATGGTAAATTAATAGCCACATGATTGCAAAAGCCAGGAAGGTGACAGTTACACTGTTTACTTTGCATGTTACCTACTACTTTGTAGAAAATTATAGAACATGTGACGAATTATCAGTCTCTGTCCTTTTCTGCAGTATTATAGCTATTCCCATAAAAGTATGCAAAATCTACAGTTTCACTCCACAGCTTTTTCACATTGAGCCCTCTTATTTATGAAGCAAAGATACTTCATTAGGTTTGATTTTGAAGGCAAGTGATTAAAGGATCTGAAAGGGTGAAATAAGAGCAGGTCTTGTAAGCATCCTAAATCTCTTTTTGCTTATAATCATAGAGATGTGTTGTGCTGAAGATTCTGATTAGTCTTTAAAGATAGTGTTAAATGAAGTAACTTGGAATAAGTTAGCTTAGTGGTGGACTCAGAATTAGAAGAAATACCGTATTTAGCAAGGTAGTGGTTTATTAAGCATTATATATATATTTTTTTTAAATTTTAGAAGTGGTATTTTTGGGAAAAGGACCACTCTCCCAGAAAAGAGGAGAGTTGGGTTTCTAAGTTTAGAAAGACTAAGGGTGGAGATGTATATTTCATTGTGATTAGCAGAGAAATGTGCCCATTTCTGGTTTCTATTAATAAGGGGTTATGACAGTTTAATTATAAGAAAGTGCTATCAAGAACCTGGTTTAATCAGTGGAAGTAGGGCAAACAATTAAATGTACTATTCAGTTGTCTACATCTAATTTATTACACATTGTCATTTTTTTTAAAAGATTGATTTATTTATTTTTGAGAGAGCGAGCAAGCAAGGAGGGAGGGCAAAGGGAGAAAAAACTTAAACAGACTCTGCTGAGCACGGAGCCTGATATGGGGTTCGATCCCATGACCCCAAGATCATGACCTGAGCTGAAACCAGGAGTTGGACATTCAACCAACCACGCCACCCAGGCATCCCCACATTGTCATTTTTATATTTAAAACTATGTTAGCCAAGGAGATGGATTCAACATGGTAAAAATGAGAGCACTATAGGCCTGTACAAATGAAAATAAATAATTGAATTATTTGTTTCTTTGGAGAAACAAGTCATTAGTGTGGGTGCCTTGGGAGGAAAGACATAAAGATCTCCAGAAAAAGCAGAATTAGTGGATTAGTGGACAAAATTACTGTTTCTAGTCTGGATGCTGTTGTCTAACTCCATTTTCCTAGAAGTAAAGTGGAATTTTTGTTCCTCTACCATGAAGGCAAAATGGAATAATACATAGGAAAATTCTCTGATCTAGTTATAGGAAAGATTGTTAGAAATTATAAGTTAGTGGTATTACCTTATACCGCAGGTTAATTTTTCCTTGTGAAAAGAATATCTGATGAGTTTTTTATAACAGTTTATGGTCCAGTTATGAAAACATAATTGAAGGGAAATTTAAGACATAATCTTCTGGCTTAAAGCTTCTGCATTCTCTTGACCAAAAGCCTTTATAGTTTGGTGGTTCGGTTTAGGGTACCTTGTTGGTGGTTTTGTTTTTAGCCTTCATTGTTAAATACAGTTCTCATTTGTGCCCAGTGTAACCATAGTCCATTTTGTTAAATCAGGTATGAAAGTATCATTGCCACTCTGTGTGAGAACTTAGACTCACTGGATGAACCAGACGCTCGAGCAGCTATGATTTGGATTGTGGGAGAATATGCTGAGAGAATTGACAATGCAGATGAGTTACTAGAGAGCTTCCTGGAGGGTTTTCATGATGAAAGCACCCAGGTAAGTTCTCATCTGTGTCCTGTGTCTGATCTTTTGGGGAAGATATCAGGGAAAGTAAAGGTTATGCACTTTCATGTGTGTGTGTGTGTGTGTGTGTGAGAGAGAGAGAGAGAGAGAGAGAATTTATATATAAATTCATCTTTTCATTTGTGCCGATTTCTGGTGGGACAAATCTGCCTTAGACCAGTGATTCTCAAACTTTAATGAACCTAGAGAGTTTGTTAAAGCACAGGTTGCTGGGCCCCATCCTTAGTATTTCTGACTTGTTGGGTCTGAGATGGGCTTAAGCATTTTCATTTCTTACCAGGTTCAGGATGCTGCTGCTGGTAGTGGTCCAGAACCACACTTTAAAGTTACCACTTCTTCATTTTCTCTCACCAGAAGATGACCTATTCCTATTCCTTATGGTTGTGGCTCATTACAGCAGGGTTTCTCACCTGGGGCTGGGGTGAGGTCTGGCATGTGCAGTTTGGAAAGATTCTCTGTGGGTGGTTAGACTTCCTCCCATCTTCTGCCTCTCCTCTACCAAAATGGAGAGACCTGACCTCGGAGCCACGGGCCCAGAGAAGCAGATAAATTATAAAACTCCTTTCCCCTGGCATTTGCACTCA